CCAAAGTGCTTGCTCATAGGGGGTCATATGATTGTTGGGTTTTTCTCTGTATCTATGAAGCGCCTTGAGGCGACTTTTGTTGTGATTTGGCACTATATAAATAAAATTGAATTGAATTGAATAGAATGTGAACTCCAAGCCAAACATATTTACTCATGCTATTATGTATTTGTATAAATTGTCAATGTATTATTGGTAGAAAATAACCAACAATAACTTATAAAGGAAAAGAACTAAATACATGCTTCACTGTAGTTCTTCCAACTGTTTTAGTTTGCTGTAAACAAATTATCTTCAACATTTTTGGAACATTTGAGAACAAATAATTATGCTTAACAAGTAGGTCAGTAAAGAAAACAGTTATCAGTTGTAGCTGAAGTTGTATAACCTGAACATTTCCAAGAACACCACTTTAACATTATTTCAGTACGTCAGCACCATGATGACTTTGCTCCAGGGCCAGGGCACGACTTTGCTGGAGATCCAGGAGGTCCCAGGATAACTGGTCACTTTTACATTGCACAGACCCCATAGCTATATTTACAGAGTTAAAAGGAAAAACGCTACACCAAGCAACATCATCCCAACTGGTTAATTTTATTAATACTAGATTCTGTTTTGTGGTGGAATTAAACAAGAAACCAAAATAAGAAAAAAAAAGTTTACAGCTGGAGGAGAATAAACACCATCCACGATCTGGCATTCCTAATTTATTTCTTAATAATTCCCTATAGCTGATCTGTTGGGAGCAATAACATAATTAAATAATTATCAGCACACGACGTAAAAAGCTTTTGCAAAGAAATCTCTCAGAGTAGATATTGGGCCTCTTCTTGCTTCTCGCATGCTTAAATGGATGCAAATTTTATTCCCTCTTTCATAGTGTTTATTCACAACAGCAGCTATTAGAAATCAGTAGGACTGATAAGAGGTGTTATTGAAGAGTAAGACTTTGACAAATGAGGTTACACGTAGAGGCGACGTGGCTTGTACTTAAGGAGCACTTTGAGTCTGCGCGGAGCCTCACTCTGCAGAGCTGTCTCTATGCGCGGTCACGCGTGGACCCTGGTGAGTGGACAGGTGGGTGTAAATCGTTAGCCAAAGGACAAACAGCACTTTGGTCCTGAGTTGACTGTTTAAAATCTAACCCTGCAGCCATCTAACGTGCAAAGCACACACCTCCGTAACATCTACTAATGCTACGCTTGCAGTAATTATCAGACGGGGTAAAGGTCGATTTTACGCATTGGCACCAAAGTGCAACTTAAATTTGCAATATGAACCGAATACTCGAACAATGCTGTAGGTTTTTAAACTTGATCGTGAGTTGCAGAAAAGAAGAGGAATACACAAAGCGATCAATACCCGCCGCAGCGACGGAAATAATCTGCAAGATTTCTTTTAGCTATAAAACAAAGAGAAACAATCATAAGAGGTGGATACAGGAGCGAACCCTGATAAGCAGAATTAAGTATTTGCTTGGCCCAAACAGCGTATTTTCATTATGATGAGAAGTTGCAATGTTTAGAAGAGAAGTAACGAACCTCTCGGATCTCTCCTCGAGCAGGTAACAAGTGCTGGGTGAACAGGGGCAGGGTACAAAAGTAAATGAATGGGCAGGTGTGAGTTTTACTGCCACCTGATGGATATATGTTAATGCTGCAACTGTGGGTGCTGCCTTTGTCACGACGAAAACAATAACAACAGTGGACAAAATTCATCTTTATTTATCTTCATTCCAATGCAAAGTGTGTAAGAACGCTTAAAAAGGTCTTTATTAGGAATAATCGGAAATAAATTATTAAAGCGCGCTAACCCTACGTGATTAAACTTGTCAAATGGTAACAGCACGACTCTCCTCTGAGCATGTGTGTGTGTCAGAGCTTGCTGAGAGTGATCCTCGGCGGAGTCTCGGGCTGGAGGATGAGGGTGACTGTGGTGTTGAGGTCCTCTGAGGACGGCACGCTGAGATGGAAGCTCAGCAGGATCTAGACATGCAGAGAGGGAGGAGGCAGGAGAGGGGAGGGGTGGAAGCATCAAGAAAGAGAAGAAGAGAGAGCAGAGACATTTACAGAGATTAAAATCATGCTACAATGAGGGGCAGAATAGAAATAGGTGCATCTGCTCAAAATGTTACTTAGATTTTTTTCGTTTCTCTTCAGGTGAACTATAATTTAGTGAAACAGACTTTACTTCGCATTTATTTGAGAGCTTTTCTTACTGGTTGAATAAACATATTCCATCTAAAGTTTTAGGATTTGAAAACAGTGTTAAACTTTACAATTTGTTGATGTTTTTTTCCTCCATTGATTACACTGTTTCCATGAAACATGAACCAATGAAGTTGCCCAACACTGCAGGAGGTTTCTTGTTATTAAAAGGGATTTTTTCTTTCCCACTGTTGCTAATTGTTTGCCTGTAGTGATTGTTGATTGTTGGAGTTTTCTCTGTTTTACTGTAGGGCCTTCACCTTACAATATTAAGCACCTTGAGTCGGCTGTTCTTATGGTTTGGAACTATATAAATTCAAGTGTATTGAATTGAACTTTTGTTTATACCTAATGTTTATAACTATTAATTTAACTATTACCTTCACCGTAACCAGTAATGTAAAGTGGTCCTTATAGGGAACTGAATCATTAATTCACTGCAAAACAATGACTTATAAAGCACTGAGTGAACTGAAGTCTTCTTTTCTTTTAAATGCACAGCTTTTACTTCTTACCAGCCTTATAACTGAGCTCTCATGTTTCCACTTCTTCCTGTCCTCTTGCATCATTGTCCTTTCACTTTCATCCCATCCCAAAACTTGCTTTCTTGCTTCCTTACTCTTCCCCTTTCCCTTTTTTGCTGTCACTCACATGCATGAGTAAAAGTTGCATCTCGTTCTCAGCAATCCTCCTCCCGACACACTGCCTCGCCCCAAAGCCAAATGCCAGGGAGCGAAACCCTGCAGCTTCCACCCTTTGGCCCTCTTCTCTGCTCCACCGGCTGGGGTCAAAGCGCAGTGGATCCTCAAACACTTTTTCACTTCTCCCCATCGGGTAAATACAGGCCTGGACCAAAGTCTAAGGAGAATACCACCAAACGCATGTTAGTCAGATGAATGTATATGAATGTCTATGTGAGAGCAACAGAAAGAATCAGAGTTACAGTCCGAACACTCACCCCAGCAGGTATGTGGTAGTTCTGGAGAACGATGTCTCTGACTGGATACCGCTGCACTGTAATTCCCACTGGGTACAACCTAAAGCAAAAGCAATCCAGACATTGAAAATTTAAAATTTCTGACATATTACCTTTGAATCCTCCATTAGTTGAGTTGTCTGACATAATCAAGATTGCTGGTAATCAATTCTCATTTAGGTGCCTTTTGATAAACACAGACACTCAGACAGCTGATGATTTTTTTTCATACATGAGTTGAAGGAAAAATTAGTTTCTTCTTGTCTATATATAATATGTGTCATACATCAATTACTGTACAATATTCCTGTGTGAAATTTCCAGTGACAACTTTTGATTATTATTTAGAAAAACCCTGTAGCTAGCTAGGGTCAGGGTCATTACTGGTAGCATGAGGTGGATCTGGACCCTACAGAGGGTGCACAGGTAGTCCAGCTCCTCCAGAATGCCACATCAGTACGTGAGACTGCCAGGAGGTGTTGTATATGCTTGTTTGTGCAAGGAGGAACAGGATGAGCACTGCCATAGTTACAAAATGACTTCCAGCAGGTCACCGGTGTGAATGTCTCTGACTAAACAATCAGAAACAGACTTCATAAGAGTTGCCCGAGGGTCCGATGTCCTGCAGTGGGGCCTGTGCTGACTGCACAGAATACCAGAATTGACAGGCCAATCACTGATGCCCTGTGCATTTCGCCATGAGAACATGTGACAGACATGTGCTCAGGGTGAACCTGAGAATCCATAGAAAACATTATACTGCCTGTAACATTGTTCAGCATTGACTGGTTTGGTGGTGGGTCAGTGATGCACTGCTCCTTTTAGTCATTCTGATAGTCTCCCAACTCTGCTTAACTGCCTTACTGATGTCAAAGCAGGGATGGCAAAAAACTTTTTAAATTTTAATGATCGGAAGACAGAAGCAATTTTATTTGGCCCAAATCGTTCTTCTCATACTCTGGATGTTGATCTTGCAGCTTTGACTTCCCAACTAAAGAGTTCGATCACAAATCTCGGAGTTAAAATTGATTCTGCACTTACCTTTGATGACCATGTAAACGGGGTGGTAAAATCAGCATTTTATCACCTCAGACGTTTATCAAAGGTTAAGCCCTTTCTTTCCAAGCGTGACTTGGAAAGTGTTATTCATGCCTTTATTACCTCACGTTTAGATTATTGTAATTCTCTTTTAATAGGGGTTGGGCAGGGCATTTTGTCACGCTTGCAATTAGTGCAAAATGCTGTGGCACGATTTTTAACTGGCAGAAGAAAATTTGATCACATCACTCCGATTTTGGCCTCTTTACACTGGCTTCCAATTGAATTCAGGATCCGTTTTAAAGTCCTTTTATTGGTTTTTAAATCTCTAAATGGTCTGGCACCTGTTTATTTGTCTGACTTGTTGAAGCCCCACGTCCCCACTCGTTCCCTTCGGTCAGCTGAGCAGCTGCTGCTTTCGGTCCCAAAGTCACGGCTGAAACTTAGAGTAGACCGAGTGTTCTCTGTTGCCGCGCCGATGCTTTGGAATAACCTTCCTCTCCATATTAGACAGGCTACATCAGTGCCAGTTTTTAAGTCTTTATTAAAAACCTATTTTTATTCCCTGGCTTTTAACTCTGTGGGTAACTGATATTTTTTATTGGGTTTTTTTGTTTTGTTTTGTTTTGTTTTTAAATTTTATTGCTATGTCTGGTTTTATTACTATGTGCATATTAGTATTGTACAGCACTTTGGTCTACCAGGTGGGTTTTTAAAGTGCTATATAAATAAATAAATGATGATGATGATGATGATGCTCCAGATTAAGGAGATCTCCCAGTACACCATCCATCGTCTCATTAGGACCATGGGTACCAGCACATGGGGACAACATAAACTACAGAGTTTGAGATGCTGCAATGATATTTTTGGCAAACATTCGTGGAAAAAACAGGAGTCACATGTCAGCAGATCCACAGTGCCTCTGAATGACATGTGAATGAAAATATGTGAGCATTAGGACGTGTATTAAAGGTGCCCTCCACTGTCTGGGCACTGGAGACAGATGTAAGGACAGACTGCAGAGATGTGTATGTGTAGGTGCCTTTCTCATTTATTTCCCATGTGCAAACAAATGGATATAAGAGACCATGTGCAGTCAGATTCTCGACGTGTTTACCTGAGGACTTCTTTGATTGTGCCTTTAAGAAGTGGTGCCCCCTGCAGGGCTTTGTAAGGATCCCCACCAGCCTGTGCCCACGACGCCCTCACCTGCTGCCTAACGCTCTCCTGCACCTCAGGGTTGCGTCCCAGCTCAAACAGAGCAAACTGCAGGGGTACTGCTGTCTGAAGAGAGGATAGGATGAGACGTGACACAGAATTAGGTATAGAGACCCAGGCTATCACACATATTGGCACACACACACCAACACACGCACCGTATCCACCCCTCCAGCCATCAGCTCAGTGATGTTGGCTTTGATGAGGTCCAAAGATAGCTGCCCTTTCTCCATGAGTTGCCCCAGAACTCCAGTGTACTGGCCTCCAGCAGTGCCAGCCGGAGATGCTCTACCCAGGGAGGTTGACAAGCGCTGGTACCCCCTCTGGATCCTCGCCTCCGCTGGAAGACAAACAGTCAGGTTGTGGAAGTGACAGGACAAAGAAGCACGTTGATGTTGATTTGAGGCTCTTGCAATTATGGCCCTTTCCTACCATGACTGAAGATGTGGTCCCAAGCAGTGGCGTGCTGGGTCCACAGGGGAGCACCCATGCGCAACAGTAAGCGAGGGGGCAGGTAGAGGAGAGGAGGAGTGGTTGTTAGCATTCGCTCCACGGCCCAGATGAACTTTTGAGATTCCAAGGAGGGGGATGAGGAGAAGAGGCCAATACGCTCTCCGTAGAGCACGTGGCAGCTAGCTAGAGAGGGAGGAAAAGAAAGAGGTATAGGTGGGTTAAGATGAGATAGATGACCGATGACCTAAAACATGAGCAAGCAAAGGACTTAAAAATAAGTAAACTATTAAATCTCATGGAGGATTACATTGACCTTTGTCTTGAAAGTCTCTATGTGTCATCAATTTATTAATCTCTTCCAAATAACAGTTAAACAATTTCAAAAAGCCACTTTATTTTTTCTTATTTAATGTAAAAACAAACAAAAATAGACCCCTTCTCATATAGATCTCCCCACGGTGCACATGATGTTTTCCAATCAAACATGTTCAAGTTATATTAACACGACATCAGCGACTGGAGTAGAGTTTCTTACTCCGGCTTAGCACTTGGTTTCTTGTGCTGAGCTCCATTAGGAGCAGAGCAGCGTGACTCAAAGTCATCAGCTCTCCCCCCCCCTTCCCACTCGCATACACACAGATGCAAACAAGTGTACACTGAGTCATACAGGCTTTCACACTTGCGAACATGGAATACAGCAGATAGGCACATGAAAGGAGCAGACCTGCTGAAATAATGCTGGAGCTTTGATCATCTTTGTTGCGATTTCTATTTTTAAAGGTGCATGTTCTCTTTGACCTCCTATACCCAGAGTACGCTAAGAGACGCCTGGGGATAGGATGAGGTTCGGTTCTCATGTTAGGTGTGAATATTTTAGAATTAAAGGACAGAGAGAGCAGCAGCACTGATCTATTTGCGTTTTCATCTTCTTCTCTTTTTTTTTGTTGAAGATTTTAAAGAGGCGATGCTCCTGCAGATTGTGTAATTCCTCTGACGTCAGAAACTGGCGCAGCTTACATCAGCATTTGTGAGTCAATGCATAGACCTGATAGTTAGGCTGAAAGCCTGTCAAAAGGGGGAAGCGACATGAATCCGTGGCCTTCCATCCCTCGGGGCTTCAATGTCGATCACAGCTGCATGAAAAATTCGACTTGACATTTATGGGATGTTTCTGTCAAACACCCATCATTTCACACCTCTCCACACTTTTCCAATATAGAAAAAGAAAGTCTACTTTTTTGGCTTCATTGTAAATAAACAGGAATTAATGCATACTCATTTTACAAGCTGTAAAATGACACTTAGAGATACACAAATATCTCATATCTCATATCATGGGGCTGATGACCTCTAACCTTCCAGTGCAAAACGAAAAAGGTCAGGACTGGGATCGATGGTAAGAACGCATTTTCCCTTCTCTCCTCTTCCCTCCTTTTCCATTCTTGTCTGCAGCATTTGACAGAAATCCTTCGCCACCTCATCAAGGAGAGGGAGAAAGCGTTTTACTGCTGCACTCATCATCACCTCCTTGTTCAGCTGCAGACGGTCAGCTCTCCACTCTTCCCCATTCCTGTGGAGAGAAAGGTGCACGCTAAGCATTAAAATGAGCTTATTTCATATCTGCTCAGTCACTGTGAAATAAAATAAGGGCATCGTGTTCAAGTCTGACTCCCAGTCAGACTTATCATTGTATAAACATGAATTCAAAGAAAGCCCGATTGAGAGAAGTCTCTTTTTTTGGTGCTTGACCTCTTCCCAACCACACGTCTACCTTTACCCAAACGTTGCAATAGTTAATATGCAACAAAGAAAGTTTTCATAGGACACGAGATAATCAGGTGCAAAAATAAGTACACCTTTACTGCTTCCATAGGAATGAAGGGTGAGCTGATTTGGAGCAGTCAGGTGTGTTAACATAATGCCACAGTCCTCCCGGGACTGGATGTCCCTGCAAATTCACCCCAAGGTCAGATTATGCAATGTTCACAGAAAAAAACCAAGAGATACATCTCGTCTCTACATTCATCTCTCTAAAAAGAACATGACAGCACAGTTTAGGTTTGCAAAGTTAAATCTGAACAACACAAGGTTTCTGGAACAATGTCCTTTTGGAGAGAGTAGAGCTGTTTCGCCGGAATGCACAGCACCACATTTGGAAAAAAACAAACTCAGCAGATGAGCACAAACGCCGTCTGGCGAAGTGTTGGAGGCATGATCTTTGGACTCGTTTTGCAGGCTCTCAAATACCCGCAGGCATCAATGAACTGAATCAATTTTGTAAAGAAGATTCAGAAAAAATCTTCTTTACAAAAAATTCCTCCACAACACTGTGAGAGAGTGAGACAATCACGCAAACACCAACACAAAGCAAAAGTCACTACTTGAAGTTGTGGCTGCTAAAGGTCAGTACAAGCTACTCGGTCACAGGACTGCTCAGAATCCAGTGAAAACTTCCTTTTCCTGAAGACAGCGGGGGATTATCATGTTTAACAGGTACAAACACGTAGCTAACACTCGTGACAGCAGCCATCTTTAAATAGCTGAAATATATTAGTTCATCTAAAGTGTATAGCATTTTCTTAAATGCACAGCTCTTACATGTGCAGTTAAACCACAGCGTGTTTCAGTGGTTGAGTGAAAGCAAATTAAAGTCAGTTAAAATAGAACTGATGACTTTGAAAATTCTGATGTAAAAGAATACGAAAAAATTATTCACTGTTTGAATTATGAAAAAAATTCAATGCACTGGCCTTTTTTTTAAAGTTTCATGAGAGTTCCAGCTTTATGGGGGTGACACTAACTCTGAGTCAGTGGCTACAAACTTCCAGCAGCCTTTACCACTTAACCCTTTACAGCCATGAGTTTTTGTGTGCATTTGCATTGAGTTTAAAAAACACAAAACTATAATTTTCTGGCAATGAGTTCATGGTTCAGGATTTAAAGGCTTAAAATATTGAAAATATTGAATTAGAAAATGTCTGAATGCACTAATATTAGAACTTTTAAAAGGACCTTTACATCAGAACCAACAACCGAACAACACACACAGTATAAGGATGTCTAGAGACCTCTTTTTGTGTATAATTTTAAATATTATATATAATCCCTATGGTGACCACAGCCTTTGCAGTGCGCTCTTGTTCTAATATTCCAATAAGAAATGAGAAAACTTCATCTTTTGCTTTAATTTTGCATTTTCTCCTTATAATTAGAATCTCATTGAAAAAGCTGTTGTTTTAGGGCTGAAATTTTGCTGCATTTTGTTGTTGTTTTATGAACAACCCCAGTCTGCTTTTTAAAGTCATAATTATGGCTTGTTATCTATGTTTCACACCAGAGTGCTGTACCTTCACAGCGATGTTTTACCATCTCTCTGTGAGCAGCATGAGCAGGAAGCAACTAAGAAACTAAATGATGAACAAAAACTTTCCACGCCTGATTAAATTACCCCCACCCCCCAAAAGACACGATGATGGTAAAAGTGATTACATTCATGTGCACACACCCACATGGAGTGGTTTCCATCCCTCGAGGGAACATTGAAATGATATAGTCAAATTTTGACTCTTAAATTTTAATCAGTAGAATAATGGGATTTTACCCACGGAGGGGAAAGGAGTCTCCATCGTGTGACTGCTTGCACAGATGCATATCACCACTTCACGAGTAATTTAAAACACACACGTGGAACTGACTTGAGGAAGATGCCCTTGCTGTGGTTGCGTATTTCCCGGTGTATCGCCCAGGGCTGCAGGGTCATCCGTCGGGGGAGCAGACCCTCTGACTTAAAGAGCTCACTAACGTCAGATGGCAGCATGATGTTCACGCTGCTTAGGGTGCCCAGCTTTTCTCTATTGCAGTCACACAGAGAGACAGAGAAAGGATATTTAGTAAGCACACGAACATACTGAAGAAAGTTTTAAGCTTCCCTCTACCTGTAGATGGGTCCGAGCGTGTTGAAGGTCCTCTCCATGTGCTTGTGAAGCTGCTGGAAGCGATTTTCTCTCCAGAATTTCAGCAGGTTGAGCCACCCATTCCTCCCAGTGTGAGGGATCTCCTCAAAGCTCCGCATCCCTTTCACTACTCTTTTCCCGCCTTCTAGCTTTCCATGCACCACAGTCCCTGCTGCAGTCACACAAAGACCCTTTTGAGGTGCGACACCAAAAAACACATTTCTGGACCCACAAGAGCCCTTCGCTTTGATACCCGCAGTCACTCGTGTGGACATGCTGGCTCTGGTCTGAGTGAGCTGTGCCAGGCGGTCTCATCCAGAGTTGTGACACTTCTTGTTTGGTGTCGTCTCTGCAGGGCTCATTCTTTCCCTCCTCCAACGCCAAACTTCACCCTTGAATGCGATTTACTGCTGACAGGAGTTTGATGATTTATAAATCTGAGCATTCAGAGTTCAAGAGAAACACAACAGAGCCAGAATGTCAAGTTGATTGCACAAAAAACAGATAATGGGCCAGTGTAGCTTCCCGAAATGTGTTTTATTACAAGTTCAACCACAGCAAATCAGCTACAAACAAACAGACTAAATGTCCACCTTCATAAGTGGTGGTTTTCTTCATACTGTATAAAATCCTTGAATTTATGCACCAAAATAAGCTCAACACAAACAAAGCAGTTATTAGAAACTAGCAGATTTGGCTCATACACATCACCGATACTGTAGATGTGATGCAGAAAGGACTCCGTATAAAGAAAAGTGGACAAATTCTAACATAATCATACAAAATAAGAAAGTTTCATGTTGTTTTGTTGCCCTGAGGTTCCTCACTTGTGTATAGATCTCTTAGTTGGATCTATATCATTTAGACCGACAGCTCTGCGTACTAGCTCGGAACTATTGATTTTGTTATATAATCACAATATAATGCAACAGCTTATTAAAACAGTATAAAATCAACATATTCAATGAGGATAAAATTCTTCAAGGACTGCATAAAATCCCATTTGTACTTTCATTGTCATGTACTGACCAGTAATTCAACACCTCATAATAATGTTTGATTATATCTAATCAATACCTAAAATAAGTATTTTACACTGGCGTATTTGTTATTATTAAGTAAAACAGGTGACTTATTCACCTGTTACATGTTATCAGATAAGCAGCAGTCATAAATTCCCATCTATTCATTAACAGAGTGTAATAATCATTGCTGTGACTACATATTGATCACATGATTTTACAAGATCCCCCATTTGCTGGTACAGGAGTAGGCGTCCCGCTGCGTTTCCTCCCTGTGAGGACCACTGTGCTGAAGCTGAGGCCTTGAAAGGCACTCAGCAGGTTGAAGCCATCATCCTTGGTTTTGGTTTCAGGATGAATTATTGTCGATAGCTCGTGGGGGAGCGACACTTTGCCTCCGACTGACCTCAGCTGGTTTGTGTCCTTCGTGTTCTGAAGAATGATGGAAGAACAAATGGGTTACAGGGTTGAACGTGCTGCAAAAATAAAAATGAATAAATAGCTCTACATCTCTTATGTTGCAGTAACATACAAGTTGGCACACATGGATAACGCCTGTAAAGAGTAGGCCTACTATTGTATTGTTGGGGGTTGGCTGTACCTCTGCAAAGGCTGCAAACACATCTGAAGTGATAACAGTTTGAGGTTTTTTATGCAGTATAACCATAATTGCATCAAGATGCGCTACATCTTGTTGTTGGAGAAGTGTTTGCAAAAGGAAAAACAGAAACTGCATTGAGATAAATTTATAACTACTGAGCTACAGACATTAACATGATGTTTAATGATGAATGTAAATGCTGTTAAAATGTTCTGTGTAGTTTTCATGATGTAGATGACTGATTTATAATAAGTTACATAATTTCATGAATATATAGTTTGTGTTGAAATGTCTTTATTCGAAATGTACATGTGTAAAGTGTAAGAGCTAGTGTCTCGTGAGAATACCCTTAACGAGAGTACACGAGACTTTGCATGGACTGCGAGGGAGCAGATGTCTCTCATGAAGCGATTTTAAGCTAAAAGTTTGCTAAAAGAAAAGGCAATACAAGGACTTAAGGACCTCTTTTCAGGACAAGCAGCCAACAAGGTATTTGTCATTTGAGAAATGTTTTTTATTTGTGTTTGGACTTAATATGTGTACTATAAAGTTGCTAATTGGTTTGTACTGTTCGCTCGTGACCAGTTCTCACGGCGTACTGGCGTAATGGCGTATCTGCGTACTGGTGATGGTGAAGCTGAGGAGAGAAGCCCCAAGTAATAAACGCCCGTTTCAAAGAACCGACCTGTGTCTGTGTTGTTGTCAAGAGAGCTACAATGAAATTTCATAATGCACAGTGGCTGCAGGGTTCAAATCCACCAGCCAGCTGGGGCCCTGTGTGGAGTTTTCACATTCTGTACATACATAGTTTCTCTCTGGATACTCCATCTTCCAGCCGTTTGTGTTAGGTTAACAGGTGAGTCAGAACTGGTCGCAGGTGTGAATTTGGGCATGACAGGGAAATTGATAACAATTTCACGCTAATACCTACAGCCAACTTAGAATCAATTAACCTAACCCCATGCATGTTTTTGGACTGTGGGAGGATGCTAAAGTACCCAGAGAGAACCCACACAGACATGAGAACATGCAAACTCCACACAGAAAGACCAGACTGGACTAGAAAGTCAAGATTTGAATCCAAGGCCTTCTGACTGCGATAACCACCACCCCACTATGCTGCCCTTTTTTTCTTTTTTCCTTTCATGATTTGTGTCCAGTTTTTTTCCCTGAGGGTATTTATCAAGTAAATACTTGATAAAAAGTATTTACTTCTCATCTTCTCTCTATCTTCTCATTTTCTTTGACACAGCAAGTTTCATTTTGAACTGGTAAGAATCTTTTGGTCGCTGAACCCTGAATCCTAAATTCAGAAGAATTACGCAGTACATTTTTGTGGTTATTTGACATTTTATCTAAATTAATTCAGTGAAGTTGGAAAAATGTTATATTTTGAAGAAAATTAAAACTGGTGTGTGAGAACTCAATTCAACTCTGTTAAAGAAATTTAAAAAAAAAACAGTACCGTGTATAAGGGGAAAACTGTCCAATTTACACAAAACTAGAGGATAAATATTGTTATTTTCTTCCAAACACAGACCTCAGACAGCTGATATTTTCTCCTGAAATGAGCTCTCATCGCTGCTCTCTCTGCATTCTTCTGGGCCTTCGTGGCTTCCCGCAGCTTTCTGTCAACACAGCAGACAAACATAAATACAGCTCAGATATCGCAGGCAGAAAATAAAAATCTCTCTGCACAGGTGACAACAGTTAACGCCTTTGTTCATCTCAGCTGCCTCCTGCAATGAGAGCACAGTGAGGAATTGAACTGAGGGCATTGATTTCAGTTTGCAGATGAATTACATGTAACTCAGGCAAAACTTGATTTCATGTGTGTTTAGAGTCTTTTTTCCATTTTCACCTGGAAAGCGCCTGTTCATATCATGCATCCAAGAAGCAACCCTGCCTGTTATTTGTAATGGCACTAAATAATGATACTACTCAGGTGCTTGTGCAGCTTTGAGCTACATGTGGTTTCCATTTCTGACGCCCCTCCCACTGTCTTGGAGGCAGTTTGTGGTTACACTACACAGAAAGTGGCTGATATGGGCGGTCGATCCGCTAATGATGCCTGATGAGGCACATCATGCCCCAGATGAACTACTCAGGGCCACACGCTCTCTCTTGCACATAATGTGGCATCAGCATTGTTTGCTATTTGTGCTTCGTCTGTTTATGTTTCATAATTTCTCTTTTATTGAAGAGAAATTTAGTGTGGGCTCCTTCCTTGTGCCAGTTTGTGAATCGTTTCATTGTTTTCATTTTTTATTTCTTCTCGATAACAATTTCTCATTTAGATTCCAAAACCATGAATTGTGATTTTTAAGCAACATTTTCACTGTAAGAGTGCTACTTGTAACACTTCATGTTTACAAAAGCACCTGTCGCTACTTTTACTTAAAGTATGTGAATACTTCCTTCACCCCTGCATGACGGTTTCTACATCACATACAGAGCATTACTTGCCTCTCCTTCTCCAGCTCTGTCTGGTACGAGCAAATGATAGACAGATCTTTGGGATATGCAGCTCGGGGGGGAGACGTTTTGCCCAACTTGACGCATCCTCCTCGACTCCCGCTGCCTCTCCCCCTCTTGTTCCTACGTTTGGCACACAGCTTCTTCCCCTTCACCTCCGACACACAGCTGGTCAGCTTCCTGATGGGCATGCTCAGGGAATTTTTTAATCTCACCACAGACTCCATGATGCACTGCACACACACCCCTATTTCCTCGTCAGATGACAGGTGAATTTATGGTGGCTTTTGCCTTCCCTCATGTTGTGTCGCACTGACACAAGAAAATCAGGACACGCAGTCTGACGTCTCGCAGCAATAACTCCTGCCAAGGACAAGGACGGCAGTCAGACAAGGCTCAGACTCTCAGAAAGGTTAAACACACTGATGGAGAGTTCATCATCTAGATGAGGTTAAAGAGGGCGGTAAAGCAGAAAAACAGAAACTACGTGATGACAAAACATGAAAATGCCAAACTAACATGCTGAACAGGCTAATTTTCAGGGTCTATTACCACTGATTTACACACAAACTTGGTTTACCATGCTGTTCCTGTTCACGGTTATCTTACCCATGCAGGTGGCCACAGTTGGCCTAAGGCTCACACCATAAAATCCAGATAAAGCACCCAGCCAGATGGCCTTCACCACCACCAGCAAATCCCTAAAGCTTTTAAAAAAGTGGGGAAAACAAGAATAAAAAACAGTAGACTGTCCACGAGATATTAAGCCTGCAACTTCCTGGCCTTCACATGACAAAATCACTGTTTTCCATCGAGGTTTCAGGCTCTCCTTCCCTCTTTCCCTCCTACAGAATCGTTTTCACATTTCACTACCCCCAACTCTGCCACACAGATTACTACCTAAGGGACTTAATGA